ATATGAACATATCTCGCGGTCTTGAGGAGATTATCGTTGTCTACCGCGAATGAGGCAAAATTCTGATCTTTTCCCGTGGTTGTGTGGACATTATCATCGTCTTGCGCGATCACATTAAAATTCTTATAATCCGTCGCGGCCGATTATTGTATCTCTCTTGGTCCTGGAGAGATCGTAATTGACTTCTGCGGTTGTGAAGACGTCGTAATCGCCTCCCACGATTGTGGTAAAATTCTTACTGTTTCCTGCGGTCGTGTAGACATTATGATCAGCTTCTGCGATCGCGGAAAAGTTCTGATCATCCCTCGCGGCTGTGTGTCACCGGACACATTATCGTCTCCTGGGGTCACGTAAACGTCATTGTTGTGCTGCGCGATCGTGGTAAATTGACAATTCCAGGTAAAAATACAACATTCACGCATAATTTTTGGTTAAAAAAAGTTCCACGCATAATTCCCGGATTAGCCGGTTGGTGGTCACCCTTTTATATATATATCGCAAAGGGGCGCTACTATTAGTCAAAGGTTGTGCCTAGGGCGCTGATGTTGTCAAAAAAGGACCTGGGCCAAGACACCATCACAGCCCGGCGCTGACACTCCCCGTAAACCGTGAACGTAATGTCGCAAGTCACGTTCATTGATTGGTTGTAAGACAAAAGTGCAGTTCAGTCGAAAGTCATTGTCGTTCAAAACTGGGTCATCGGTAGTGTCCCAGTCCTAAGGCTACTTAGATTTTTATTTTTAAAACAAAATGTACATACAGTGTTTCAAGTATTACGTCGTTACAGTATTTTGCATTGGTATTAGGTTGGTACAAAACTTAAGGGATTAAGAAAATAAAACTTATTTGTACAAAAAAAAAAACACACTTAAATAGCCAAACACATTCAAACCAAAATAATATATAATTTAGCAGAAGTGTTAAAAATATTAATTTGATGAATTAGTGATGCAACTATACCCATTTTTTTTAATTCTTGATACCGATACAAAAAAAAAATTCTCAATACCAATACCATTTTTAAAATAGCTTTACCAAGTTTTCTGAATGGATTGATTGTACTACAACAGCCCCTCTCTTTATGTCTTTCTATTAAGTATTTTTGAGATAGGCTATTAGGGTGTTTTTCAAGTAAAAAATGTATGCAGCAATGAAACATTATAACTAGCCAATTTCCAAGTGTAAACCTTTCTTATCACATCAAATAACTAGCATATTTAAGGTACTAGGCCTATAGAAATGTGCCAGCCTAAAAATATTTTCAGTCCGGCCAAACTCAAAGTAATTTTGTAATAATAGTAGTATTCTCACTGAAACATCATCATTGTTTTTCACGGTCGCGGCAAGACCATGAACATCTTCCGCGGCCATGTAGACATCATCATTGTTCAACGGATGGTGGCAAGAACAAGAAAACCTCCCGCGACCTGTAGACATCATCATCATCTTCCACAATTGCGGCAACATCATAAACATCACACACAGTCGTGTAGACGTCATTATCGTCTCCCGCCATCACAGCAAAACCATGAACATCTCCTGGGCCGTGTAGACATCATCATGAACTCCCACGGTCACAAAAACGTCTTCATTGTCATCTGCGATCGCGGCAAAATCATGAACCTCTCTTGCGGCCATGTAGACGTCATCATTGTCTCCCGGTATCGCAGTAACGTCATCGTCGTCATCCGCAATCCCGGCAAAATCATCTTTCGCGGGAGTGTAAACATCATCATGGACTCCTGCAGTCACGGAAACGTAATCATCATCTCCCGCGATCGCAGAAAAATCATGAACATCTCCCACGGCCGTGTAGACAGCATCATGAACTCCTGTGGTCGCGGAAACGTCTTCGTCGTCATCGCGGTAAAATTCAATTCAATTCAATTCAAAAACCTTTATTTCATCCAACATCATGCTAAATATTTCACATCCTCTTGTGCACACGCACGTGCGAGGAAATCTTTAGGTACATGCAATTTTACAATGTTGTTACTGGCAGAGTCTATTCACTGTTGATACACAAATACAATAAATAATAATAGTATCTAAGCTTACAACAATAACAGAGGGTATTTTTTATATAACTTTACTGTAAAAAACACATGCAACAAAGAACAATAAAATACTAATGAAAAAAGTGATTACATTTTTATGATTTTTTTTTAAAATCATGATTATCTCTTGCAACCATGTAGACGTCATCGTCGCCTCCTGGGATCGCGGCAATATCGGTAATCTTTCTGCATTATCGGTACTGAAGGTACTGGTACCGACATTTCACCATCGGTTCTTGGTTCCAGTTCTTTTACCAAGAACCGGCGGAACCGAAAATTTGACGCCAAGTACCGACCCATCAATAATAATAATCCAAGGTTTGATTTTATAAAGTCTGGACGGGGTATTTTCGAGGTTTTGGTAGCTGATTTAATACAATTTACAACTATTGTATTGAAGTGGCCGGAGCAGAAATTAACATCTTGATTACAATCGACAACAGGAGCCCAGTTTCAATGTGTGAGAAGGTGTGAGAGTAGTTTATGGTCAATATAAGTATGTGGGTTTTGTACCTGGGCAGGGTGTCTAGTTTATTTTTATTATAAAATTCAAGACTAATTCCAGACTTTTCAAGACTAATTCCAGATTTTTCAAGACTAGTTTTTTCAACAATTAGTGGGTGTTGATACTAAAATGTATCGATTCTCGATTCTTGATAGCTTAACCAAATGTTCTAAATAATACTACACCAACCCCTGTCTTTGTCATAAAGTAGTATTATGATAATGTGGTGTTTTCAAGTAAAGAAATAATGCAGCAATACAAAATTCTAACTAGCCAATTTGGTTTTTTTTATCATGAAATCTTCCGCGTACCGTACGTTTAGACATCATCATTGACTGCAGCGGTTACAGAAACGTGATCGTCGTCGTCCGCGATCACGGCAAAATCATGAACATTTTCCGCGGCCTTGTAGACATCATCGTCGTCACATGCAGTCACGGAAACGTCATCGTCGTTGTCCGTGATCGCGACAAAATCATGAACATTTCCCGCGGCCGAGCAGATATCGTCGTCGTCGTCCGCGTTCGCGGAAACGTCATCGTCATCTCCCGCGGTCACGGAAACGTCATCGTCGTCGTCCACGATCGCTACAAAATCATGAACTTTTCCCGCGGCCGAGCAGATATCATCGTCGTCTCCCGCGGTCACGGAAACGTCATCGTCGTCTCCCGCGGTCACGGAAACGTCATCATCGTCTCCCGCGGTCACGGAAACGTCATCGTCGTCTCCCGCGGTCACGGAAACGCCATCGTCGTCGTCCACGTTCGCGGAAACGTCATCATCGTCTCCCGCGGTCACGGAAACGTCATCGTCATCTCCCGCGGTCACGGAAACGTCATCGTCGTCATCCGCGTTCGCGGAAACGTCATCGTCATCTCCCGCGGTCACGGAAACGTCATCGTCGTCATCCGCGTTCGCGGAAACGTCATCGTCATCTCCCGCGGTCACGGAAACGTCATCGTCATCTCTCGCGGTCACGGAAACGTCATCGTCATCTCCCGCGGCCGAGCAAATGTCATCGTCGTCTCCCGCGGTCACGGAAACGTCGTCGTCGTCTCCCGCGGTCACGGAAACGTCATCGTCGTCGTCCGCGATCGCGGCAAAATCATGAACATTTCCCGCGGCTGTTTAGACATCACCGTCATCTCCCGCGGTCACGGAAACGTTATCATCGCCGTCAGCGATCACGGCAAAATCATGAACATTTCCCGCGGCCGTGTAGACATCATTGTCGTCTCCCGCGGTCACGGAAACATCATCGTCATCTCCCGCGGTCACGGAAACGTCATCGTCGTCTCCCGCGGTTTCGGAAACGTCATCGTCGTCGTCCACTATCGCGGCAAAATCGTGAACATTTCCCGAGGCCGTGTAGACATCGTCATCATTGGATTTCGCGGTTACGTAAACGCAAGACGACGATCGCGGCAAAATCATGAAAATTCCCGACTTTGAAATCAAGTTTAAGACTAAATCCCGACTTTTCAAGACCATTTTGAAATTCAATACTAATTCCCGACTTTCCCGATTTTCCCGACTACTAGACACCCTGCTGGGGGAACCCAGGTGGAGTGACGCTTAAACAAGTAGCCGGTATCCCTGGTTAGGATTGAGGGGAAACCCTCTCTCTGAAGGGTGTGCTTCGGCAGCCGGTGAGCCTGATGACCTTAAGTCATCCTCCCATGATGTACCAAAGGTTGGTGCATTAGCTTCGGCCTACATCATGGGGCCCGGGTATGTTTAATTATAGGTACCGGGCTTGCAGTCAGGGAGCTTCATGCTCTCATGACAAAACAAAATGGAAATGGAAATGGAATGGAATATAAGTATGTGAGGGTGTGGAGCATTGTGGATTGTTGGGTTGTGTAGTGGCAGCAGTGATCTTAAGTCCAGTGCTGTAGTGATCCGTCACAGCCGTCTGATTCACAGAGATTTAATTTCACAAACATTGCTGTATTTAACAAAAATATGATCCAGACAACTCACCAAAACACCAGTGAGTGACTCTAGTAGGATTGTCAATGCACTGAGTGAAACCACACCCGACTGAACATTCTAAGTATTTGCCACTCATAAAGTCTCTTTTCAGTAAGTCTATGTTAATGTATCTCAAAAGGATGCATGTAGAATTTTTATTAATCCCAGTAAAGTACCGTTACATTTCATCAATGAAAATGGCTGGATTGAAATGTATTACAACAATAACAATCATACTACTGTATAATTATTACTATTACTATTGAGCCAGCACTTAAGGTATAATTTATTAATCAGATTAAAATTTATAAGATAACTTCTTGTTTCTGATTACATAGTCTTGAATGACATGTACAACCACACTGACTGTTTTAAATCAACCTATTCTCAGTTAATATGTTTCACTTACTTGTACACAAATACTTAGATTGCCCAAGACATCTTATTTATTTGTCAATTTATACCTCTGGACGTAAATGTTGTAAAGTGAGTGTGTGAGATTGAGATGGTTGCCAATTGCTAGTTTCCACACCTTTCCCCGCACACATGGAGGCACCCCTTGCCACCACAGATCTTGAGCTTTTTTACTGCTGTGTCTAAAATAAAACAACACTGTTACAATAAAATAATAGATTGTGGTTCGGATATTAAAACTGAGGTAGGGACAATGTGAACTCAGCCAATATGTTGTGGCCAAACTGAAGTGTATCTTTGGACACACTCCGTCGTCATAGTTAATACGGCAAATCGATTATGTGATTTTATTACCAGTAAGACATGTGGGAGGATTTCCTCTTTTTTGTTCTGCAACTGTATTACATAATATAAAATTTAAGGGTGCCTAACACTTGATTGTCAAGTATAATAAATATTGATTTTAATAACTTTATAGAGAAACAGGAATGTGAAAAGTTCAAAATACAAAGGTTTTCAAATTATCAAAGATAATAAAGTGATGCAAACTCTGTAAAAGTGGTGTAGAAGTTTTAAATTCTTGCCAGAACTATATTGTTCTTATTTTTAAGCATTCCTCAATAACCATGTTTACATCCCACATCCCACTTTGGAAAGACAATAGGTAGATCAAAATTGTTCTTGCAATGTGTAGGGGCCTCAGAAGGTTAGTCGAGTGAAGTAAATATTTGACAGTTCCGTTACAATTACAGCTGAGCCACTTTCATCGGAAAAGACTGTTTGCTAGATCTGTTAATGTTACTACTTACATCTTATCCCACCAAGGCAGTATTTCTACAGTCCAGGTGCGGATGGCCTGAGCTAGCTGCTCCTCAACTTTCAGTTGTAGCTGGATTTGTTTCTTCCTCAATTTAGCCTCCTTTATTTCTACAATCACAAAAGTGTAAATTAAAAGTAGTGGACTGGCAATAATAATAATGCAATTTTTTAAATGCTGTCTAGACTTTGGTGGTATTATTTAGTAACTAAACCCTAGGACAACCCTGATGGATTGGATGAATGTCCGTGCCTTTTTTGTGATTTCACAAGATGGGTAATTTTTGTGCTACAGTTGAAGAACTAAAATTTGCATAACATTTTTACAACAATTTCAAAAGTAGAGTCCTGGTATTTTCCTACAAAATTATGAACAAATAATCCAAGATATACAAAATATAGACATTTTATATGTTTGATTTTTGAAAAAAAATTTCACCCCTTCTTAAGAAATAAAATATACAAAGTAGGAAAATATCGATAAATGTACACTAATTTTTTGAAACTCAGAAAAATATCAAATATAACTGTAATAAGCCAAGACTGTTATATTAGTAAAGGTAATAATATAGTTATATGATATTATACACTTTGGTGCACAGTAATAACTGTTTTATAAGTTTTATGAGTTGAAAAAGAAAACATAATTTTTGATGTATATAACAATAAATGGTAAAAATATTTATAGTATATATATTTCTGAAAAAGAATATTTACCAATGTATATAGAAATAATAAATGTGCCATAAGCATTTTAGACAAAAGACAGGTTTAGCAAGTGGCCGGTCAAGGTCAATTGACAAGTCGCTTGGTCTCGGAGCGTTTTGTTATCACTAAAAAGCAATTGACATTTCATAATCACACATTTTACTACAAATACTAATCATTTACCCATAACTTATTAGTAAATCTTTGTGTTTTATTATTACAAATGTGTTGTTTTGTTTAATGAGTGAATGTGATAGGAATTATTATTATCTATATAATTAATACGCTACATGAAACTTTGTCGGTTGAACTCCTCCGTCATTTCTTAACCGATTTTACCCATTGACGTCTCATTGGAAAGAGCGTGTCGCGTAGATTTGCAAACTGGCCTTACATTTTTGAAAAAGTCCCTTGGGCTCTGCCCCATTGGCTTTGAAAGTTCCCATGTTATCCTTATGAAGAACATAATTGTTTACATTTTGATCAGCTGTATAATTTAATTGCTGTTATTTATTTTTCTTGATCACGGTAACCCCTACGCCAGGTAAGTATTTTTTGAACTTTTGAACCCCCTTATAGGAAAAGGGAAATTGTTCAATGTAAAAGATGTCAACAATATGGTCACACAAAAACCTACTGTAGGCATCCATTTAGATGTGTTAAATGTGGAAAAGAACACGATACAATCAAATGCACTAAAGACAATTCTACTCCTGCAATATGCGCCTTGTGTGGAGGAGGTCATCCAGCCAATTACAGGGGATGCATGGTCTTCAAAAATATCCAGAGTCAAACACATCCCCAGGCTCGAGAAAGAACTACCGTCTCAAAACAAGCTGAAGTTACTCAATCATCAAATTCTGCTTCTTCTGACAATCTAACACGTCCTGACGTTTCGTATGCGGAGGCAGTTAGCAACTCACGAGTAAGTATCAAAACTAAACCCAGCCCAAGTTCTGATAATGTGAATGCACGCACGCCAAGTAATGCTTCTAGTGATGCATCCACAGAAAAGTTAACAAATACAATAACTTCATTCTTTGATCGGTTTGAAAAACTGTTTATCCAACAATCTCAACAAATAGGTTCCTTACTTGACCTACTTACAACTGTTCTTAAAAAGCTCAATTAATGGTGAAAACCTTGAAGATAGCCTTGTGGAATGCTAATGGCTTGGCACAGCGATGCCAAGAATTAAAACTGTTCATTGCTAAACATAAGTTGGACATTATTCTTATTTCTGAAACTCACTTTACTGATTTAAACTTTTGTAAAATTCCAAATTTCAGTCTATACAACACTAACCATCCTAGCAATAGAGCTCATGGAGGTTGTGCTATCTTGATTAAAAGTCATATCAAGCACCATGAATTGCCTAAATATCAGTTCGATTTCATCCAAAGTTCATCTGTTGTAGTGGAGTTTGAAACAGGCCCACTTACTATAAGTTCTATTTACTGCCCACCTAGACACAACATTACACGCCAACAGTTTAATGATTTCTTCTGCACTTTAGGCTGTAAATTTTTGTCAGGAGGAGACTACAATGCCAAACATCCTACATGGGGCTCCCGTCTGGCAACTCCTAGGGGTCGACAACTACTGCAGTCAATCCAAGAACGGAACCTTGATACTCTATCGACAGGTGAACCGACATATTGGCCCTCTGATCGTCAAAAAATACCAGACCTTCTTGATTTTTTTGTTACAAAAGGTGTATCCCGAGATTTTGTGACAATCGAGCAATCTCTGGACCTTTCCTCAGACCATTCACCTGTAATTTTAACGATCACTTCAAATGTTATATTCAAACCTATTCCACCACATTTATGCAACAAAAATACAGATTGGAATTATTTTCGTGAATTAATGGATCAAAATTTAAAGATTTCTGTGTGTTTGAAGAGCGAAGAAGATTTGAATCTTGCTGTTGAACATTTCAACAAAACAGTTCAAGACTCCGCTTGGAGAGCAACTCCAGACCAGAATAAACATAATTTAAAATCAGGAATACACTATCCAATTGAAATTAATAGGAAAATTGCCGAAAAACGCCGACTCCGTAGAATATGGCAAAACTCTAGAGACCAGACGGATAAAAGAAATCTAAACAGGGCCACTCAACAACTAAAAAGGTTACTGTTTAAATTAAACAATGACAGATTTCAAGATTTCACATCAAACCTTTCTCCATCTGAAGCTAGTGACTACTCCCTTTGGAAAGTTACAAAAAACTTAAAACGTCCACAAATTTGCATTCCACCTATTCTAAAAGAAGACGGTTCTTGGGCCAAAAACAACATCGAGAAAGCAGATGTATTTGCTTCATACTTCAAGGAAGTGTTCAAGCCATATAATATTAATTCAAATGTTGAGCAAGAAATTTTGGAATTCCTCGATTCTCCAAATCAACTTGATTTACCAATAAAACTGTTCACACCATCTGAAGTAGCTAAAGTAATAAAAGACGATTTAAACGGCAAAAAAGCCCCCGGTTATGATCTGATAACAGGTAAAGTGTTTAAAGAGCTTCCTAGAAAAGGAATAGTTTTCCTCACAGTACTTTTCAATGCAGTTTTACGCCTTAAATACTTCCCAATACAGTGGAAGGTTTCACAAATTGTTGTTATTCCGAAACCTGGTAAACCTTTAAATCAAGCATCCTCGTATCGGCCTATATCTCTTCTTCCTGTGGTTTCTAAAGTTTTTGAAAAACTTTTCTTAAAAAGACTTCAAATTATAATTGACGAAAAAGAATTGTTGCCTTCCCATCAGTTTGGATTCCGCCGAAGGCATTCCACCATTGAGCAAGTGCATAGAATAGTTAATGTAATCAAGGAAGATCTTGAAAATAAACGTTTTTGTTCATCTGCTTTTTTGGACGTAGCCCAGGCGTTTGATAAAGTCTGGCACACAGGATTATTGTTCAAAATTAAAACTTTGCTGCCCCATACATACTATGGAGTGTTGAAATCGTATTTGTCCGAACGCTTTTTTCAAATTAAATATCAAGATATAGTTACAGATGTGCATGAAATTGAATCAGGTGTACCACAAGGCAGTGTTCTTGGGCCTATTTTGTATATTTTGTTCACTTATGACCTTCCAAGTACTCAGGGTATTACGGTTGCAACATTTGCAGACGACACTGCTTTTTTATCATCAAATCAGGATCCTATTCTGGCATCATCAAACCTTCAGGCTGCATTAGACGATTTGTCTCAGTGGCTACAGAATTGGAAAATTAAAGTAAATGAAACAAAATCTGTTCAAGTTACATTTACTATGTCTACAAGAACTTGTCCCCCAGTAACATTGAATAATGTCATGCTTCCACAATCCAACGAAGTTAAGTACCTTGGTATGCATCTCGACAGACGGCTTACATGGCATTCACACATTTGGAACAAACGACTTCATTTAAATTTAAAAACAAACAAACTAAATTGGCTCATTGGTCGAAATTCAAAATTATCTGTTGAAAATAAATTACTTTTATACAAAATTATATTGAAACCTATTTGGACCTACGGTATCCAACTCTGGGGAACCACTTCCAACTCAAACATAGAAATAGTTCAAAGGTTTCAATCGAAAACACTGAGAAAAATTTTACAAGCACCTTGGTTTGTCACAAATAAAGTAATTCATCAAGATACAAAATTACCCTATGTTAAAGAAGAAATAAAGAAACGAAGTGAAAAATACCAAAGAAAATTAGAAACCCATCCAAATTTCCTGGCAGTTAACCTCCTCGACAATAGTGAAGCTACATATAGGCTCGAAAGAGTTAATCCAATAGACCTTCCAAATCGTTTTTAGTTGAACTTTTTAAAAGTTTTTGTATGTTAGTGCACTTGATGGAGTGTAACTAACCCATGTTAAAATGGTTATCAAATTTACTTATTATTCTAGTATAGAATAGATTGTGAATAAATACATAAAAAAAAAATAAAAAAAAAATAAAAATAAAATTTATTTTTCAATTCAATGAAACGCATTGAGTACATTTATTCACTATTTGAGTTTGTGTCAACATAACCCCCAAGACGGAACGTGTTAGTATGGTTGTAACTTAAATTTGTGCATTTATCGTTGTTTTGTGTAGCTATAATATGTTTATTTGTTGTTTTTTTTCCTTTTAAATTCCTTCGACAACGAAACATAGACAGGAGGCGTAATCGTGATAACCACCGCAGCTACAGAACAGTGGCACGTAATAGGCTTAACCATAGATAAAACATCCAGGAGTATGTTTTATCATAGACTAACCATGTTTTATCTATGGGTTTTTCTATGGCTTAACTCATCACAGTCAGCACCTGACCCTGGACAATCTCAACTATTAGGTTACAAATGCGTCCTAACACTACCCCAAAAAGATTTTTCGTTCTCAATTGGCC